ATAAGGAGAGTTTTTTGTGGCATTTATAGCTTGTCAGTTGAGAATAAGAAGAGTGTAGGGCATTTAGCATTTATAGCTTGTTAGTGGGAATAAGAAGAGTGGGGCATTTATGATTCGGCCAACTGGGCATTTATTATGGAAGGCAGTTATGCTGAAGATGTGTATAAGAAGGGGCTTTGGGGGATGGAGGAGGCAGGCTTTTACCGAGTAAAGAATTCTGTGAATGCTTGGGAGAGTCATCGGTCTCTCGAAGAACCGACCCACTGTAAGTGATCTTCTTTTTTTCTGAATAACTACCAGTTCCCTGTTGACGTTCTAGTCGTGTGGATTCTGCTGTGAGTCTGCAAATTGCATGTCAAGTTTCTAGGTCTTATCAGATTCATGTAAGCCAACCTCATATAGTTGGGATAAGATTTAGATGATGATGATGAGATTGATATTTCTCTTTTATAGTTGCTTGTATATTTTTCCTTTTTCTCTTTTTGAGTTATAGTGACTTAGGTGGCATTTGATAACTCTGAAGTCTGATGGCTGAAAAGTCAAAAAGCTATTTTTATGCATTTGAGATCTGAAAAGTAGCAGTTTTTCTGCCTTTCAGAGCGTCCTAAAATATAAAAGCATTTGTGTTGGGTTGATCTTCCGGGTTTTGATAACTACCAATTTTACTATTTTACCCCTAAAAATAGACTGATAAATCTGATTTCTATTTTGCATGTTATCATAAAAAATGAAAATTTAGAATATATTTCACCCAAAAATTAATAAAACAGTAAAATAATATAAAAAAGTAATTTTCATGAAAATTTAAAATAGTAATAATTACAAAATATTAGTATTAAATAGTATTAAAATTATGAAAAATGTTAAAATGGATTTAAAATATATTAAAAATTAATAATTATATAAATTTATGGAAAATTATTTATAATTAGAAAAAATTATGGAAAATATTAAAAAATCTGACATTTATCAAAAAAAAAAAAATCTGACACCCAGTTCAATGTTGATCGTCATGGGTAAGAAGTTCTACTGTATGATCAAAAGGTGATAATCACCATGATTTGCAGAACATCTAAAACAATTATAAACTAATAGACAATTTACAGAACTTTTAAAAACCACCCTCATACTACATATCCAAATGTTAATTACCAGTAAAAACACAGTTTACTCTGCACTATATCACAGTGCTAAACGTAAAAATTCAAATGTCACAGTGAAGGAAAGGATTTTTGGCTATTTCATACGGCTAAAACTTCACCCAAAACATACTTACATAAGCATGGCCCTTTACACCAAAGCAACTCAAGATGCATACAGTCATGGTACAATTTTAATTATAACATTCATGGCAAAAAGGAGACTTCTCGAAAAATGGCAGCTGAGATGGTACTACAAGCAAAAACCACATTTTTAACAGGAGAAAAAAATAATCAAAATAAAAAAAACAAAAATGGCAGTTGAGTTTGGTGGTGGTCACACTTGCTAGAGAAATCATCATTTCAGTTGAAACCCCTGCAAAAACAAAGAAAAAAGTGGCAAAGCAAGAAGAAAAATGGTTGGCAACCTGACAATTCGGGAGAAGAACACTCAAGGAAGAAAAAATAAAATAATATATCAAAGTTACCCATAGATTGCTGGTGATGATCACTGCCAGAGAAATCACCAAACCGGTTGAAACCCCTGGAAAAAACAAAGAAGAAATGTCAAGAACAAGATGGAAAATGGCTTGGAACCCGACTGTTCAGGATAAGACACAATTACCTGTAAACCGTGGTAATAATCACTAATGCTGTCGGAGAAGAACGTTGCAAACTGTGTTTGAGAAGAGGAAAATCGACTTCTAGGGTTCGACTACATCTGACTGCACTCCGCACTTGGTCCATGTCTTGATGATTCAGATCTTATTTGCATCTTCAGATATTGGGTTCAGACTTCTCAAATGGGGTCTTGCGACTGAGAAGCTAGTTTTTCAAACTTCAGATCCCAATTCAGATTTATCAAACACCCCTTTAGTAAATGAATCACATTTAAATAAGTCAGTCCTTTAGCCATCTTCTCTTCTATAGTTCTTCTATATGTATGTCATTCACATGTTATTATAACTTTCGTCATCTTTCTTACTATATGTTTTGATCATATTGGAAATCCTCTTTTATAATTGTCTTTTTTCCTTTCTTTTGAATTGTAGTTACTTGGTAATTGAATCACATTGATAATGGTAAGCCAATCATCCAATCACAAAATCCTTAATTGTTCTTTCCAAAACAGTAACAAAATATTGAAAACTTTTGATGATATTCTAAAAATTTTAACTTTAGATGTTTAATTTGTCAATGAAATTAAAAATATCCCCAATATATTGGCGATGTATCAGAGATATGGGGGCAAAAAAGATTTTTGGAATATTGCATTTCATTCCCAATGTTTTAAAACATGGAGGTGTGATGTGAGGCATTCCACTACCCGGAGGCATGAGGTGTAGTTCATAATGCAAGAGGTGTAAGCCACCCGAGTACAAGGAGGTTTAAGCCTTCTCAAGAGGAGAAGGAAGGAGGACTTCTTCCTTTCTTTTCTTTCTTTCTTTCTTCCCTCCTTTTTTTCCCTTTTCGCATATGGCGTGCATGAGGTGTACCAGAGCCGTATGCCTCAGAGCATTTTGAGTGCACCTTGTCTGGAGGCGTGTCTACAGGTGTATGCCTCAAATGCCTTTAAAAAATTGATTGTTCCCTACAGTCCCTAGTTTATAAGGAGATTTTTGGGAGATCTTGCCATTATCTCACCAATATTGCAGACCATGTTCCAAGGTATCTTATGATTTGGTGTCCAAATTGAGGCGATTCATTAGGATGGATATGGAGATAGCAAACTCTTAAGCTGATAGCTTGGCCTGGGGATGCAGGAGAAAGGTGGGGTTGTCAGGAGGTTGGAGTTGTTATATAGTCTATTCTTTTGTGGATAATATCTCTCTGTATCTTGTTTTTCTGTAGTTTGTTTGTGTTAGTCTTGCCATCATGGGTAGGCATAGCAACATTATATTTCTTTCCGGACTATGAAGTTTTTCTTATTGATTAAAAAATGAATTATAAATCATTGAACTCTGATTTGATAAAAAAAATCATTGAACCCCGATTTTTTTTCCCTCTGCCATCCGTCTAGAACTTTAGACTAGCATAGAGATAGAGTTAAATATACATCTTCAAACCATACAATCTTTTAAAATGTTTTCTTAAAGATAGAAATTTTGCTTTTACCAATCACAACTTTTTCAAGAAAATCAAAGTAAAATCACTTTTAAGCCACTTATTTACAAAATAAATTCTAGAAATAACAAGATGATAATTTATAAAGTTTGAGAATAGCCAAAAGAAAGTAGTAATTTAGTAGAAATCTGCTGAAAGAAAAAATATGAAAGAAAGGAGTGTTTTCTTGAAGAGAGAAGAAGAGATCTTTAGAAGAAAAGAGAGCAATAATCTGGCCGCCCCCTTCAGTTATTATTTATATTAAAAATATAAGAGGTGTACAATTCCTACTATGCCCTTATAGGGTGGCAAAACATAAAACAGTACATAAAAGACTCAAAACACTAATAAAATTATGACTCACATAACAGCTGTGGTCCCCACTTCTTATCTAACAACTAGCATAACACAACTACTCTAAAACTAACTAATCTTCAACAAATTTCAATCACACCCAAGTGTGCAATCCATCTTATGGAAACCAAGGTTCAAAATATCGATACGCTCGATATGCCGGTAGGGGCATATCGGACAAATCGATACCTTTTATTTTTTACTTTTTTTTTTTATTTTTTTCAAAACCGGTTCAGGGGGGCTGGTTTAGGGCTCCTCCACCCCCTGAACCAGTCAGACCCCCGATACACCCACTGTAGGGGCGTATCGGAGGGGTCCCGGAACGATACGTATTGGTCGATACTTTGAACCTTGATGGAAACAACTCTCTATAGTCATGTCCAATTTATATGATCTTAGCCTTGTTAAACATATAATTGACCATGCTAATTTTACCTAATCTAAAATGAATGCATTTGAACTTGTTTTTATGTGCAAAACTTGGGTAAGTAATGCACTTAATATTGTAGCTTCTTCTGGTAGAGGTCTGTTTAAAATGGGTGATGACTTTGAGTGAGCTTTTCTGCATCCTACATCTTATTCTGTAATGGATATTTTCCATGATTCTCACATTCTTGGTAATTTAGTACCATTTTTAGCCTGCATGGTTATGCCTGGATATTGCATTTACCTCATCCCTATGGCATATCTTTGCAAGGTTTGATTTAAAAACTGAAGCTTGATGCAGGTTGTAGATTCTATGGTTGTAGAAAGGGCTCGAGGTGAATCGCAAAGCACATCTGGATCCCTTCAATCATTATGTTGGGGATCATCAGCTTTTGGAGGGATTGTGAGTGCTTATTTTAGTGGCTCTTTGGTGGATGCTTATGGTGTAAGGCATGTTTTTTTCAATTTTTTATTCAACACTATTGTTTACAATGAATCTCTCCTAATCAAACACTTCCCTCATTGGCTTTTTTTGATATGCAGATTTGTCTTTGGTGTGACAGCATTGCTTCCACTGATAACATCTGCAGTTGCTGTTCTTGTTAAAGAACAACGCATGTCTAGATATAATCTTTCTCTGTCAGGTCCTGGCTTTTTTGAGAGCTCAAAACAGAATATAATTCAGCTATGGAATGCTGTCAGGCAGCCTAATGTATTTTTGCCCACCTTATTCATCTTCCTGTGGCAAGCAACACCGCAATCAGACTCTGCCATGTTTTTCTTTACGTAAGTTCTTTCATCCTATATTTTAAGGATGTTATAGTTGATAGGTACTTGAAACTTCTATAATTTCTGAGCATCTGTTTTGGTTCCTTGTTTGGGTTTCAGGACAAACAGACTTGGTTTCACCCCAGAATTTTTAGGTCGTGTCAAGCTTGTTACTTCAGTCGCATCATTGATAGGTGTTGGACTGTATAATGGATTTTTGAAGAATGCTCCCTTGCAGAAGATTTTTCTATGTACAACCATTATGGGTGCTGCTCTTGGGATGACACAGGTTTGTCTGAGCTGTGGTTGAATTTTTTTTTGGTTCACTTCAACTAAGATTGCTTGAGAATTTTAAATTTCTAGGTTTCCATGGTCATTTTTACATACGATTTTATCATGTATATCTTCCTCAGATTTTCCTTGTTACTGGACTAAATCGGCAGTTTGGTGTAAGTGATGAATGGTTTGCTATTGGAGATTCTTTGATTATAACAGTCCTTTCTCAGGTAAAATATAATTTTTTAAGCCATTTCATAGATATGTGGCCATTTTAAACAGTAACTCTATTATACATTGTGGATGATATTTAAACTATTGGCTATTTCACAGAAACTTTAAATGCCATCAACTACTTAATTTTGTAGGATAGATGGTGGTTTCTCTGATATTAAGATAATGATGGGTGAATAGACAGAGATAAATATCTTTTTTCTTCTATTTTTTATTTTTTTTATAGGAAGCAGTAACTTTCATTAACTTTAAGGAACATTAGTACAACTATCACCTTCGAAAGAAGGTGATCCTTCAATCCACAACAGACTTACAAACATGCCCAAAAAAGAGTTTCCCTACTAACCCCTTGCTTTGCAAAGCATCAACCAAGGTGTTTTCTGACCTTCTAGCCCATTTGAATTGTACTCTAATCTCCCTTGTTAGGTTCAAAATTTCCCTTACAACTTGTCTAAGGGACCAAGTGCCTAAGCTATTTGTCTGCATCCAACCTATTACCAACTTTGATCTCCCTCCACTTCTAAATGCTGAAAACCCAACTGTTTAGCCAATCCGAGTCCTTGCAGTAGTGCCATTACTTTTGCCCTAAGTGAGTCACCCATCCCAATTTGACCAAGGAATAAAGCCAAGATTATTCCTTCCATACCTTTGAAAACACCCCCAACTCCTGAGGGACCCGGGTTACCTACAGAACTACCACCAAAATTTAGCTTTACTCTGTTCTGTTGAGGAGGAGACCAGCTTACATGAATAGTAGGAATGAGGAAGAGGAGCCCGCTACTGTACTCCAACCTCAGTCATCTACTGTAAAAGCCTTGAACAGATCCAGTGTTTTCAGCCAATTTAAGAAATCGGTGGTTATGTTTTTCTACCAATTCATCCTTTGATTTTCCTTTCCCTTGGAAGATCCTAGTGTTCCTCTCTTCCCAGACTGCCGAAACAATAGCTGATCTCGTTGCTCTCCACCCTGCCCCTTTTATTTGGTTATCAGAAGAAGCTCGAGTTGAAGAGGTGCACCACACTTGATGGAGGAGTCCACCTACAACCAAAGAGAGAGGAAAACCAGTTCCGAATATGAGTAACAAAAGAATAGGAGATTAATAGATGGCTCACTGTCTCTCCACTAGTCATACAATGACTACAAACATGTGGGGATAATCTCCAGTTTGGTCCCTTTTTCTGAAGAACATCTAAAGTATTGATTTTTTGGAGGACTACTTCCCAACAAAAGGTCCTAATATTAAGCAGCATAGGAGCACACCACACTTCTGTAACAGGAAAACAGATAGGCAAGTTGGTTGGCTGCAACAAGGCATTAAAGAAAGAGGATCAAGAGAAATAACCTGTAGTGGATTCTGACCAAATTCTACTATCAAGACAAGATTGATCCAAAAAACACTGAATTTAAAAGAGAGAAAAGTTAATCTGCAGTGCCCACTTCTGTGTCCCTCAAAGCTCTTCTCAAGCCCAAATCCCAAGAAGAGTTTCCAATAAGGAATATTGAGTGTCTATGGGACTAATATGTAGCTTTGGGAAACCTTTTTGTCTTTTTTCCCTTGATATGGTTGTATGTGAACTATTTGAGCAACAGCCAACATTTTCTGTGGACTTTTACTTGTAACAAGTGTTGTCCCAAGTGTGAATTGTCATCATGGCTAGACCGATTAATATTGAGGTGTGCAGGTAACACAACAATAGGGGTTGAGAAACAAATCAAGTTATGTGGTTGTTTGCTCAACATCTTGATATTGAATATGAAGACATTTTGAAATCAAAAGGGATTTTGAAAGTCAGTGATGTCAAAAGAAGTTTGCTTTTCCATTGCTTCTTAAAATCCCATCAGAACATTTGGCAGCTAAGCTGTGATATTTTGCTCAAAATCATAGAACCTGAACATTACTTTGACAAGTCCTAAACTGTTGAAATCAAAACAAGCACATAAAACAGCACCAAACTATAGCACAAGCAAGGTTCAAAATATTGGAATTATCAGGCCATATCGGCTGATACATATCATATTGGTGCCCTCCTGATATGCCCCCACAGTGGGTGTTCTGGCATCTGACCTGGTTCAGGGGGTAGATGGGCCCTTAAACCGACCTCTCCGAACCAATTTGAAAAAAAAATAAAAGTTTTTAACAGCCGAACAGAGGAGAAGAGAGGTAGGAGAAGAGAAGAGAAGAGAAGAGGAAGAGAGGAGAGAAGAGAGAAGAGAGGAGAGAAGAGGAAAGAGAGGAGAGAAGAGAGAGATTTGGAGTCTGCTACAGTGCCGCTACAGTGCTGGCGGCAACAACTTATATTAATATATATAGGGCGACCATAATTAGAAGGGAAAGGACCCTTATGCCCCTACTTAAGTTACAACATAAAAAATAAAAGAAAAAACTGCTTTAATTTGTCCAAACGAACCCTAACTCAGCAGAATACAAACATAATAAATAAAGTTAGCATTCCAACACTCCCCCTCAAGTTGGGACATGGATGTCAATCATGCCCAACTTGTCATACAAATTATTATGCTGCACGTGTTGAAGGCCCTTGGTGAAGATGTTTGCAAGTTGTTCCTCTGAACTAACATAAGGAGTGCACACTTCTCCGCTCACAAGTTTTTCTCTATTAAAATGCTTGTCCACTTCAATATGTTTTGTTCCATCATGGAGGACTGGGTTAGCAGCAATGTTGCTAGCAGCCTTGTTGTCACAGTAGAGTGACATAGGTTTGTTAACTGCAAAACCCAACTCTCCTAACAAATTTTTTATCCACATCATTTCAGCAACTCCATGAGACATGGCTCTGTATTCCGCCTCAACACTGGATCTAGCCACTACACTTTGCTTCTTACTTCTCCAGGTGACTAGGTTTCCTCCCACAAAGGTACAATACCCACTGGTAGATTTTCTGCCATCGATTGCCCCTGCCCAATCAGCATCTATATACACCTCCATTTTCAAATGCCCATGTTTCTGGAAAAGCAAACCAGCTCCTGGGAACTTCTTGAGGTATCTAAGGATTCTTTCTGCAACTTCAAAGTGAGTTGTCTTAGGATTATGCATGAACTGACTAAGAACACCCACCGCATAGGCAATATCAGGTCTGGTCATAGACAAATATAAGAGTCTCCTTACAAGTCTCTGGAACTTCTTTACATCTTTCAAACACTCCCCCTGACTATCTCCTAGCTGATGGTTGGGTTCAATGGGTGAATCAATTGGTTTCACTCCCAACTTGCCTGTATCCTCTAATAGATCTAGTACATATTTTCTTTGGGAAATAAAGATGCCCCTTTTTGAGCGGGTAACTTCAATTCCAAGAAAATAACATAAGGAGCCTAGATCTTTCACCTCAAATTGAGTGGCTAGGAATTTCTTCAGCTTCTGTATTTCAGTCTTCCAATCTCCTGTGATTACTATGTCATCAACATAGACAATTAAAGCTGCAATTTTACCTTCACCTTTTTTCACAAATAAAGTATGATCTGACTGGCATTGTTTGAATCCAATCTGTTGCATTGCTAAATGAAACCTACTAAACCAGGCCCGAGGTGATTGCTTCAACCCATATAAAGATTTTTTTTAACTTGCACACCTTCTGCTCACTACCTTTGGCATAGAAACCCTGGAGGTTGAGTCATGTAAACCTCTTCCTCTAGGTCACCATTCAAGAATGCATTCTTGATATCCAACTGATGAAGTTCCCAATCAAGATTAGCTGCCAATGAGAGGAGGATTCTGATTAAATTCATCTTGGCTACTAGAGCAAAGGTCTCGGCATAGTCTACTCCATACACTTGTGTAAACCCTTTGGCTACCAATCTAGCTTTGTATCTTTCTACTGAACCATCAACTCTATGTTTTACTGTGAATACACACTTGCAACCCACTGGTTCCTTCCCTTCAAGAAGATCCACTAACTTCTAGGTGACATTTTTGTGTAAGGCATTAATTTCTTCCTTCGTTGCATCTGTCCATTCAGTTTTGGATAAAGCTTCTGCCACATTCTTAGGAACAAAGGCACTATCAATAGAGGAAAGGAATGCATTTTATGAAGGTGAAATATGATCATAGGACACAAAGTGAGAGATAGGATGATTAGTAGTACAAGACCTAACACCCTTTCTCTTAGCAATAGGAACATCAAGATCATTAACAATAGGAGGATCAATGTTAAGAGATTCAGGCATATTAATGGGTAACAAGTGTACCTGACTAACGAGGAGGATCTACCTCTGGAGAGTCCGATGATATTGGTTGCATAGTTCGGGTTCTATGGCTCTTGAACTTTGCTGGCTCTTATGGCGGCGAAGAAAGACCCGAAATGGAGAAGGGACTGGAAGAGGAGGTAGTTGAACTTGAGTGTGTTTCTCCTCAACCCTACTCTCCCCCTAAGGAGAAACCGAGAAGAAGGGTCGACTCTCAAAGAATGATACATCCATGGAGACATGGTACTTGCGTGAAGCAGGATCATAGTAGCAGTAACCCTTTTGAGATAACGGATAACCAAGAAAAACACAAGGAGTGGCACGGGGATCAAGTTTACTGCAAGGAGACAAGTCATGAACGAAGCAACGACACCCAAAGACACGTATTGGAATGGGGGACAACGAAGCTGTAGGAAACAAGAGTTGATGTGGGGCCTTATACTCTAGTAATCGAGATGGCATACGGTTGATGATATATGTAGCACACATAACAACATCCATCCAAAAATGTTTCGGAACATTCATATGAACTAATAAACCACGAGCTACCTCAAGTAGATGACGATTTTTCCTTTTAGCAACACCGTTTTGTTGAGGTGTCCTGGCATAAGAGCTTCGATGAAGAGATCCACACGAAGCAAAGAACTCCGTGAGATCACTATGGAAGTACTCTTTTGCATTGTCCGATTGGAAAATGTGAATTTCAGTTTAAAATTGAGTGAAAACCATTCGTTGAAAGTTTTTCACAATCTTTGGCACTTCATCTGTAGATCGCATAGGATACACCCAAGTATATCT